ATGGTATGTAGTGCTAACTTGACACCATACACCTAGTCGATAGAATTAAGATATTGAAAATGTTATAACGGCATTAATTGTAGCTTTTAACTTTAAAATTTTTTGTGGAAAGAAAAAATTTGTAGCTCTCGTTTTTAAACCCAGATGTGCCTAGCGTACTATACATAGTACACTTGTAAAAGTATTTTTCGCAGCAACCCGTGAATTCAAATGCACGTGTTTGATTTCAAATTCCAATGCCATGGTAACGAGTGAGCTTCACTTTTATTCATTTCAAATTTTACATTCGTAGTTCGGTCATTGTGTGTTTACAAAGTTGTGGAAAAGTGAAAAATGAGTTACTCCGATATAAGATTTGTAAGGTAAGTACAAATTATGTTTTATAGAATTTTTTTTTAGGTCTACTACTAAAATCTACTAAGGCAGAAGATATAGTTTTATGTTATTTATCAAAGCTTTGTCATTATTCTACTTTTAGTTCAACTTTTATCGCCTAATTCATAGGTGTACTACATGTAGTACACCAGGCACATGCACAACCATTTCATTCCTAATTTATAATTTGGCTGTAGAGAGTGTATTTTTGAAATTATATATTAAATTTAATGGAAGGATTTTATAATGGGAAAATTATAGTAATATATGCGCGAATGACATTTTGATTTCAGAGGCCTTTCGCTAAATGAGGCTCTACGTATGTTAGAAGATGACGACGAAATTTTAGAAAATGCTACTGGGATAACAATATTTCCCCCTGAGAACGAAGAAGTAACCGATGAAGATTCTGGTGACGAAAATGTAGTTGACATAAACGATTTGCCAGGGTTGCAACTTCGTGCACCTGCCGAAATTAATTTGAATCGGCGCGTTGACGACAGTGACTTTTCGTCCGATGATGATCTGCCGATCTGCTCAATTGATCCCTGAAAAGCCTGCAGACAAAAACTTAAGTGCGAAGAAACAAAAAAGGTATAACTGGACGAAAGAAGACTTACCACCACCAATTATTTCTGACATGGCTGCTGATCCAATTGATCTAAGAGTGAATGAAAATATGAAAAGTCCGTTGGATTTTTTTGAGTGCTTTTTTTGACGAAGAGCTTATAGATATAATAGTCGAAGAAACTAATAGATACGCTGCTCAAAAAAATCGATCACAAAGAGTGAATAAGACAGAAATAAAAGCATTTTTAGGGGTGTTGATCCTGAGTGGATATGTTTGCGTCCCGAGGAGAAGAATGTTTTGGGAAAGAGAAAACGACAGCCATAACGTACTTGTTGCAGAATGTATAACACGCGATAAATTTGAATTTATATTGTCAAATATTCATGTCAAAAACAATGAAGATCTAGATATCGCGGACCGATTTTCGAAAGTAAGACCTTTATTTGACCACCTCAATAGAAAGTTTATGGAAAATAATCAGATGGAGGAAATGCACTGCGTTGATGAGGCTATGGTTCCCTATTTCGGAAGGCATGGATGCAAGCAGTTTCTACGAGGAAAGCCAATAAGATATGGGTATAAGCTTTGGGTAGGATCAACCAGGCTAGGGTTCGTAAATTGGTTTGGGCCTTATCAAGGAGCATCAACAAACATAAGTGTGACATACAGCAACTATGGCGTAGGTGCTGCCGTTGTTCTAGAATACGCTGAGACGCTGCGCAAGAAATGGCGTGATGAAAAAATGCACATATTCTTCGACAATTTTTTTACTACTATTCCACTTATGGAGAAACTTACAGACATGGGTTTTCAAGCAACAGGTACGATAAGAGAAAATCGTGCATCCGGCAATCGATTACTCGACTCGAAAGTACTAAAAAAGCAAGACCGTGGGTCTTTTGACTTCGCTAAAATAACTGACCATAATATCATTGTCGTCAAATGGAACGACAACAACTTAGTATGCTTATGTTCAAATAATTCTGGAGTCAACCCGATATGTAATGTAAGAAGATTTTCGCGAAAAGAGGGAAAACATATTCAGGTAAACAGTAAGCTAATATGAAACACATACTGTGTCATCTAAATGCACGTAATTTTATTTTTTACAGATTCAGCAGCCTCATTTAGTTCGCTTATACAACGCAAATATGGGGGGTGTAGATCGATCAGACCAGAATATTGGCCTTTACAGAACATCTATCAGGGGAAAGAAATGGTATTTTCCACTTATAACCCACTGCGTCGATTTGGCAATACAAAACGCATGGCATCTTCATCGAAACAATGGGGGTGTCCTTGATCTGTTGAAGTTTAAAAGACGAATTGCAACGGTTTTGTTGACGCAAAATAGAAAACCACCATCAACATCTAGGGGACGACCATCGGCATTGGTAAATATTGATATCAGGTACGATCGCCTTGACCATTTGATCATAATACAACCTAAGCAAACAAGATGTGGGGAATGTCATGATCGAACAACCACTAGATGCCGAAAGTGTGACGTTGGACTTCATGCAAAATGTTTTGTCGCATATCACACAAAGTGAACTTATGTACATATATGTGCCTAGTGTACTATACATAGTACACCTTTTTTTTCCAAAACTGAAATAAATAAAAAATTAATTTTGACTAAGAATGTTTTACTTAACAATAAAAACTAGAAAACAGATCGAAAATTTAAGTTTTTTTGATTGTCTTAGCTTTAGGCATATCTGGGTTAAGAAAAAATGGTATGTAGTGCTAACTTGACACCATACACCTAGTCGATAGAATTGAGATATTGAAAATGTTATAACGGCATTAATTGTAGCTTTTAACTTTAAAATTTTTTGTGGAAAGAAAAAATTTGTAGCTCTCGTTTTTTAAGAAAAAATGGTATGTAGTGCTAACTTGACACCATACACCTAGTCGATAGAATTGAGATATTGAAAATGTTATAATGGCATTAATTGTAGCTTTTAACTTTAAAATTTGTTGTGGAAAGAAAAAAATTGTAGCTTTCGTTTTTTAAGAAAAAATGGTATGTAGTGCTAACTTGACACCATACACCTTGTCGATAGAATTGAGATATTGAAAATGTTATAATGGCATTAATTGTAGCTTTTTTGTTCGGAAAGAAAAAATTTGTAGCTCTCGTTTTTTAAGAAAAAATGGTATGTAGTGCTAACTTGACACCATACACCTAGTCGATAGAATTGAGATATCCAATATGTTACTATGCCATTAATTGTAGCTTTTAACTTTAAAATTTGTTGTGGAAAGAAAAAATTTGTATCTTTCGTTTTTCTGGAAAAAATTGAGTTGACCCTTTTTCGAACAAAATTTTGGTATGTAGTGCTAACTTGACACCATACCCCATTGACGACAGAATTGAGATATTGAAAAGGTTACAACGGCATTAATTGTAGTTTTTTTGTTGTAAATTTGTTTTGGAAAGAAAAAATTTGTAGCTTTCGTTTTTTAAGAAAAAATGGTATGTAGTGCTAACTTGACACCACACACCTAGTCGATAGAATTGAGATATTGAAAATGTTATAACGGCATTAATTGTAGCTTTTAACTTTAAAATTTTTTGTGGAAAGAAAAAATTTGTAGCTCTCGTTTTTTAAGAAAAAATGGTATGTAGTGCTAACTTGACACCATACACCTAGTCGATAGAATTGAGATATCCAACATGTTACTATGCCATTAATTGTAGCTTTTAACTTTAAAATTTGTTGCGGAAAGAGAAAATTTGTAGCTTTCGTTTTTCTGGAAAAAATTGAGTTGACCCTTTTTCGAACAAAATTTAGTATGTAGTGCTAACTTGACACCATGCCCCATTGACGACAGAATTGAGATATTGAAAAGGTTACAATGGCATTAATTGTAGCTTTTTTGTTGTAAATTTGTTGGTGAAACAAAAAAATTGGAGCTTTCGTTTTTTAAGAAAAAATGGTATGTAGTGCTAACTTGACACCATACACCTATTCGACAGAATTGTGATATCCAATATGTTACTATGCCATTAATTGTAGCTTTTAACTTTAAAATTTGTTGTGAATAGAAAAAAATTGTAGCTTTCGTTTTTCTGGAAAAAATTGAGTTGACCCTTTTTCGAACAAAATTTAGTATGTAGTGCTAACTTGACACCATGCCCCATTGACAACAGAATTGAGATATTGAAAATGTTACAACGGCATTAATTGTAGCTTTTTTGTTGTAAATTTGTTGTGGAAAAAAAATTTGTAGCTTTCGTTTTTTAAGAAAAAAATGGTATGTAGTGCTAACTTGACACCATACACCTAGTCGATAGAATTGAGATATTGAAAATGTTATAACATTCCATCGACAATAGAAGTTGGCGCTACATACCATTTTCTCTTAAACCACGAAAGCTACAAATTGTTTTCTTTCCACAACAAATTTTGAAGTTAAATGCTACAATTAATGCCGTTCTAACATTTTCAATATCTCAATTCTATCGACTAGGTGTATGGTGTCAAGTTAGCACTACATACCATTTTTTCTTAAAAAACGAAAGCTACAAATTTTTTCTATCCACAACAAATTTACACGAAAAAAGCTACTCAAGTTAGCACTACATACTAAATTTTGTTCGAAAAAGGGTCAACTCAATTTTTTCAGAAAAACCAAAGCTACAAATTTTTTCTTTTCCCAACAAATTTTAGAGTTAAAAGCTACAATTAATGGCATAGTAACATATTGGATATCCCAATTCTATCGATTATGTGTATGGTGTCAAGTTAGCACTACATAACATTTTTTCTTAAAAAACGAGAGCTACAAATTTTTTCTTTCCACAACAAATTTTAAAGTTAAAAGCTACAATTAATGCCGTTATAACATTTTCGATATCTCAATTCTTTCGACTAGGTGTAGGCAGGGTGGGCAAAAACTCGGAGTTCGAGCGAGCGAGTGAGCAAACTCGTACTCAATGCCTCGCAGACAACGAGGCGCTCGCAGCTCGTACTCGTAGCAGCACTGAGGCGAGGCACGAGAAGTTTGGCTCGCTCGCCAAACGAGCGAGCGCTGCTTGTTTGCTCGCGCTCCTATTAAATTAGCGAGGCTGTTGGGTGTTGCCTCGCTCGCAGTGCGAGGCGAATAGCTGTCTGCATACTCACTCTGCTAGGAAAGACGAGTGAGCGACGAGCGAGCGCTCCGAGTGTACTATACAACACATGCATTTTTGTGCATAAAAATGTGGGAATGTATGTCAATAGATTATGTACGAAAGTATGTTAATAATTGTATGTACATATGCATATATATATGTTAAGTATTATATTAGGGCAGCATTTAAAACAACAAATAAAATTGATTACATACATAAGCATAGATTATGGAATGAATTATTTTTTAGAGTTATATTCATACATGTGTACACACATAACATGCTTATTTATATATGTTTGTATGTACGTATTTATGTATATATGCATTTATATATGTATGTACATATGCATGTATTTTGTCTTTACAAAGAAAAGTAAGTAACGAAGATATTATAATCGTTTGTGCCGCAGAAACAAAAAACAAGTAAGCACTTGTTAACACCCGCAAAATAGTTTTCTACTTGTAGCAGTTATGCTGTATACCTGGATGAAATATAGTCCTTGGTGAAAAAATTTATTTGTCGCCTGTTGTTCAAGGACATGTGTACATATGTATGCTTGTATAAGTTACGGGATTTTCTACTAAAATCCCTAAAAAAATATATTTTTGAAAATTGGGTTGTGTCAACCTTTATTGATAAGCAGCAAGACTAAGGCTAAATTTTACAATTGGAATTACATAAAAGCTAACTTACTAGCACCGGCCAATCGTTGACGCTGATTCTCTGAATTGCCAAACTGGGCTGCGCGTGTTGACGGTGGCTTCCTGTTGCTGACGGTGCGTCTGGCTTTTGCTGTGGGAAACGTTGTGCAACCCAAGCTGCACTTCCGCTCTTATTATTGTGCTTTTGCTGATCACTCAAAGTGGCGATCAGCAAATGTTAACGTGTTCCATGTTAACACTTCCCCTCTTAAAAACGATCGTCCTCGAGCGTTTATTAAAAATAGGGTAGGTTGTTGAAATTTATGTAAGTATTCTGATCATTAGGGGGCTCCTTGGTTTTATTTGAGTTTATATTTGCCAAAGGAATCTGGTAAGTTTCTGGAATCGGAGATATTATTATTTTGTTCTGGTGCTTTTTCCAAAATTTGCAAAAAATTATAATGGCAATTATTGTGGTTGCAACTGCTCCAAGTGAAAGTGAGCTGTTGGATATTGTTGCTGTTTTGAGGATATTTATTCTTCTTATGTTGTCGATATGGAATTCTTTTAAAGCTTCCAGAGAAAGTAATTCGATTCGATTTTTTTCAATTGGTGCAGGTTGTAGGACTGCTGGAATAGCAGGCAGCGGAATCAAATCGTAATTAATGTAGAATTGATTATTTATCTGTAACGTTGAGTTATGAAAATTAATAAGGTGTGTCCCTGACACATTTTTTTGCATTCCGTCAGTATGTATTTCGCCTTTGAAGCCATTAAGTAGTAATATACCGGGTTTTATCTCTTCAATTTCTTGGATGTGTTGGCCGTTCGTTATGGTGCAAGATGAATTCAAACTATTAATTACTCTAGGTATACAACTACTATTACTTATATTTATTAAATGGGTTTGCTTACAAATTTCAATTTTCTTATAGCTATCGCACAATTTCTTAATTCCATAGGTATCTTTTGTACCTTTTAAAATTTTTTCAAATTCGACATTAATTATGGTTTTATTTTCTTTAACAACTGGTCTAATAATAATTTTTTGAAAATTTTCTTTAATAGTTAGTGGTATTTTTACCAAGTAAAAAATTGTCATATTTTGACTTATTACATTTACATTCGATATTTCTAATGCTTCTTCGGCACTCTTAAATGGTATTTCATCATCTTCTAGTTTTTCTAAAGCAATTTCAATTTCATTTTTATTTAACAATAATGTGTTTAAAATATCTTTCTTTGCCCATTGTATGGCGTACTTTATATTAATCAATTCTTCTTTTATTAATCTTATCCTATTTTGCAAATTGGTGATTGTTTCATTTTCTATGTAAGTGTCTTTCCTTATACTATTAAACAGATTATTTACTATCATACTTATATTATTAATTTTTTCGTTAAAAATTTCGTTTATTAATACTTGTTTATTATTGTTGCCATTGAGTTTATTAAAATTATTGTTTATTGCCTCCAGATCTTCGTGATCGGGGCTTCCGGCAATGTATTTCCAAGCCGTTCCTAAAATGTTTATGGATCGTTTTTGTTGTTTTTTTTTCGACAGGTTTTATTGTTTCTAAAATTTGCAGAGATTGTGTTAATTCGTGTTTTAATAGGGGGTATAGGATTGTGTCCTTAGGGATGTCAGAGGAGGTGAAACTGTACATGTCCGTCAGGAATTGTTCGTATTTGTTGAGGTCGATTACGTGTATTAGCCTAAAGGCTCCGTTCTGAATTTTGGCAAGTCCGTCATTTATCGTGACTAGTTGTGCAGTAGAGTAGTCGTAAATGTCTATTGATGCGGTTATCGGGAAAATAAGGAGGAATCTGGAAGGGAAAAATTAATTTTGATTTTTTTTTTTTTGTTACTGGGTGAATAAGGAAAAGGAAAAATTAATTTTGGTTTTTTATATTGCTTTTGTGTACTATTCTTCCTGATTCTGTCAGGACGGTTGAATTTCGGTCTTCCCTTATTACTTCTTTTTTAAATTTTTTTGAAATTTTGGATCCTAACCGTTTGTTTATTTTTACGTAGATAGTGTCACCCGGATTATATGCTTTTATGGGGTGCCGGGATTTGTTGTGGTAAGCAAGATCTTTCACCTGCTTATTTCTTAGTTCGGTTATATTTTCAGCCCTAGACCTTTCGAATTGGCTTGGGTCGGTTGTAACTCTTCTACCAAAAAATACCTCTATTGGTTTCTTTTTTGTAGTTGAGTGGATTGTATTATTGTACTCATAGACGGAGTTGTCGAGGAGTTCTGCGAATGAAGTGAAGCTTCGCTCTGCTTTTAAACAACGCATTATTTCTGTGAGGGTCGAGTGAAATCGCTCTATTCGACCATTCACGGAACTTGCATAAGGCGGTGTTTTAAAAATTTGTATATTTAGCGTATCTTCCAAAAGAAATTGAATGGAAGCTGAATTCAAGGACGTTTCATTGTCTATTACTACTAATTCGGGTACGCCGAACTGGAAAAGTAGTTCACGGAGAGGTTCCTTAACGTGCTCTATGGCTCTCGATCTAAGGATTTTTGTTTGGGCATACTTTGAAAATTTATCTATTGCTGTAAGGACGATATTTCGCTCAGTTATGTAAATATCAATGTGCAATATTTGCCCTGGCAATTGTGGAATAGGGGTTTCTCCTAATTTGGGTTTGGTGGGGTTTCGGTCATATTTATTTTCTTTACAAATTGAGCACTGTTGGATTATTCTATTTATTTTTTTGGTCATGGAAGGAAAGTAAAAATTTTCCAGGATTTGGGTTTTATTTTCTCGACAGTTTCGATGTGGTCTTTTGTGGGTTTTTACAATGATTTCTTTCTGTTCTTGTTCGTTTGTGACATCCTGCACTTGCATTTGTCTAAATCGGATTTTGTAGTTGTTAAAGTGTATTGGATAAATTTCTTGGATTTTTCCCATAATCCTTTCCTCTGTTTTAATACAGTTGACAACGGAAGGATTAAGGTATCATTTCAGAAGGTTCTTTAAAGTTTCGGGGGTATAATCAGGTTCTTCGAAAATGTGTCTGTGGTAAGTAGGGAACACTATTTTAAATTGATATGTTGAGGCTTCGGCTATATTCAAAAAAATTTGGTTTTTGAATACGTTTATTGGTGTTTCTACGGATGGGATTAGGTTATGCGATGAGCTTTCATCGCTGTGTTGGGATACTGATAGGGAATTTATGGGTTCACCTGGCATCCTTGATAGCGCATCGGCTACGACATTAGTTGTGCCAGGTTTATACAGAAGCTCGTGATTATATTCTTCAAGGATGGCTTTCCAGCGCTTCATTTTGGAATTGTTGTTTTTTATTGCTTAGGGCCTGCGTTAGCGGCTGGTGATCCGTGAATATTTTGACTCTTGCTGAGCCGTACAGATAGTTTCTAAAATTGTTCAGGGCCCATATTATAGCTAGGAACTCTTTCTCGTTCGTAGCGTAGGCTTCTTCGGTCTTAGTGAGTGTTCGCGATAGTGATGTGCCGAGTCGAGTCGACTCGAGTTCTGACTCGAGTATTTTAGAAGTACTCACGTACTCGAGTAAGCAAATTATAGTATTCGGATACACAGACTCGAGTACGGGTCTCGAGTACTTATAGTTATCAAACACCGAATTTAGCGTTAAAAAAAATATATATATTTACCAAATACACCACACAACTATTTGCGCAAATACTAATTGGTGAAAATATGAATCAAATAGCATTACGAAAAATTCTTATTTGTACCAATTATTGTTTGCGCAAATACTTGTGTGGCGAAGGCGCCCTATTAGTTTCCATTCACTTTGTATCATATCGACAGTTACCAATTAATCGATACTTATGTATGTAAAAGTTTAGTCGTGTCACCGCCAACATTGGGCTCCAACCGCTAACACTATTGACGGATAAGATGACTGCATTTTTGATTTCATAATAAATACTTTGCCTATGTTATATTATCAATTTCCAATCTTTAACTAACTTTATTTGCAATTGTGTTGACGCAATCATGGCTCCAAAACGTTCGTCTGATATTTGGAATTTTTATAATAAAATTGAAAATAAGAAATTGGAGTGCAGAGAATGTAAAAAAACGTTTGCTGATTTTGGAAATACAACGAATTTGTTGAAGCATTTTAGAAAAGTGCATTCTCTAATATATTTAACATGTATAGAAAAAACACGTAAACAAGATCAAAGCCAAAACAATAATTTGGATTTAGATTCGGTTACATCTAGCAGTCAATCACTAGAAGCAAGGGTGGATAATGAAAATGGAGACCAAGCTCAAGGTGAAGGTGCTCAAAGTCGTAGAAGACCGTTACAGATGACATTTTTATCAAAAGAGGCTGCACAGGTCAATTCAAGGAATGTGAACAGAGAACTAGTTAATATGATCTGTGTAGATTTGCAACCATTGTCTATAGTTGAAGATGAAGGTTTCCGAAACTATACTTACCAGCTAAACCCCAACTATAGTCTGCCTTCAAGAAAAATGCTAGCAGAAAAATTACTACCCCAACAATATGATGTTTCAAAAGCAGCACTAATTGAAATGTTACAGCAGGTGGATTTTGTAGCAGGCACAACTGATTTATGGACATCGGACAGTAATAAAAATTATTTGACTTTGACGATCCATTTCATTTATCAAGGTCAGGCAGAATCTCGGGTATTGGCCACCAAAGAAATGACAGAGTCACATACATCAGAAAACATAGCAAGTTTACTGCGCCAAGTACTTGAAGAGGAATGGAAAATTTTTGATAAAGTTGTATGCATTACTACAGATAATGCAAGTAATATGAAAAAAGCAGTAATAGAAATTTTGCAGAAACGTCATCATTCTTGTGTAGCACATACTTTAAATTTAACAGTCTCTGATTGCATGAAAGATAATGAGCAGCTATCTCTTTTAACGGGGAAATGTCGTGAAATCGTTACTTATTTTAAAAGAAGTAATGTTGCGTCCTACAAGCTTCAAGAAATTCAAGAGCAGATGAATTTAGAAAAACTGAAATTACAACAAGATGTTCAAACACGCTGGAACTCTACTTTCATCATGTTTGATAGATTAGACAGAGTCAAGATACCACTATCAGCTGCGTTGTCTTCCTTGCCTTCATCTCCTTATAACTTGACCAGTGAAGAATGGAATGTGTTACAAGAATGCGTGATTATTTTGAGACCAGTGGAGCAGCTTACTACCATTTTATCTGGTCAACAGTATCCTACATTGTCGTGTGTTATCCCGCTTATCCGAGGTGTTCAATCATCCCTCAAGAGCTATTCAATGTCCACTAATATAGCGATATCTTTACAAAATAAACTTATAGAAACCATCGAAAGGCGTTTAGGCGTTTATGAAACTAACAAAACAGCAGCTAAAGCCACATTTCTTGATCCAAGATTCAAAAAGGCTGGTTTTGGAAAGGAAAGAAATGCTGAGAGTGTTCAGAGTTGGGTAATTGAGGAATTAACATGCCATGAACATGAATCATTCACCGCTAGTGAGTTTCCATCATCATATTCAACCGCGCAGCTGCAGCACTTGAGTTCCGATGCCCAAGTTTCTCCGAATTCAAACCAACATCTCCAGCGCCAAACAGGTGCGAATGATTCAGCGAATGATTTATTGTGGAACTATTTGGATAAAAAAGTGCAACAGCAGTCGAATATGGCTACTCCCACCTCCTCTGCTATCGTCAAGGTGAAACAATACGTTCAACTTCCTTACCTACAACGAAATATGGATCCGTGCGAATTTTGGGAGAGTAGAAAAATTATTTCCAAAGGTTTGTACAAAATGTCTCAAAAGTATTTGTGCATTCCAGCGACTTCTGTTCCTTCCGAACGAGTTTTTTCGACAGCGGGGTTGTTATGCAACAACCGTAGAAATAGATTAGAACCGAAAAAGGTTGATCAAATATTATTTTTGAATAGTCATCGTAAAAATAAAAAAGTGTACAAAAATCCTATCTGAACTGTTATTTTAAATTTCACTATAAAGTTATCAAACAAAGTACATACTTTGGTTTGTATTTATTTAAATGTAATATCGTAGATATTAATTGCCAAAGATGAAAGGAATTTTAAATTCCAAAGGAGTAATTTTATTGTTTATGAATCTAGATCTCATGGAATATTGTCGTTACAATTGAAGTACTAGTTGAACTTTTAAAGTACTGAAGATTTATTTGTTTTAACTCATTATTTACTTTGGATATTTTTTTTATGACAGACTACTAAGTTCTAGTTCTACCATGATAAATAAAGCAACTGTTATTGAACCCTATATTTATTTAATTTTAATTATTATTTGTAAGTATGTCAGAATTGGAAAAGACCTCTCCGAGCCGTTCGCCACAAAACGGGGTTTCAGACAGGGCGACTCCCTTTCATGTGACTTCTTTAATCTGATGTTGGAGAAGATAATAAGAGCTGCAGAACTGAACCGCTCAGGAACAATTTACTACAAGAGCGTGCAATTGCTGGCTTATGCTGATGACATCGACATCATCGGTAACAAAAACTGCGAAGTCTGTTCTGCCTTTTCCAAGTTGGATAGGGAAGCAAAGCGCATGGGTCTGGTGGTAAACGAGGACAAGACGAAGTATCTCCTGTCATCAAACAAACAGTCAGCACATTCGCGCCTTGGCACCCACGTCACTGTTGACAGTTACAATTTCGAGAAAGTAGAGAATTTCGTTTACTTGGGAACCAGCATTAACACCGATAATAATGTCAGCATTGAAATCCAACGTAGAATCACTCTTGCCAACAAGTGCTACTTTGGACTGAGTAGGCAATTCAGGAGTAAAGTCCTCTCTCGACGTACGAAAACCACGCTCTATAAGTCACTCATCATGCCCGTGCTGGTATATGGCGCAGAAGCATGGACAATGACAACATCCGATGAGGCGGCTCTTGGGGTGTTTGAGAGAAAGATTTTGCGGAAGATTTACGGTCCTTTACGCGTTGGCGACGGCGAGTACCGCAGACGATGGAACGATGAGCTGTATGAGCTTTACAACGATATGGACATAGTGCAGCGAATTAAAGTACAGCGGCTCCGCTGGCTTGGTCATGTCGTTCGAATGGACACCGACGCTCCAGCTCTGAAAGTATTCAACTCGGAACCCGCTGGTGGTAGCAGAGGAAGAGGGAGGCCCCCACTGCGATGGAAAGATCAGGTGGAGAAGGACTTGGCTTCACTTGGCGTTTCCAATTGGCGTCAGTTGGCACAGAGGAGAAACGACTGGCGTGCTTTGCTGAACTCGGCCAAAATCGCTTAGGCGGTTACAGCGCCAAAAAAGAAGAGAAGAATTAAAAAGTCGGCATTTCGGTTGTGTGCATGTTCAGCAGTCGAATCTATAACGTATTCGAATACCGAGCTCTGAACTCGAATACTTGATCCGAGTATCTGACTCGAATCCTGACTCGATTCTTTTTTTAATGAGTACCAAAATACTCGAGTACCAAAAATAGCCGACTCGGCACATCACTAGTTCGCGAAATGAAGGCGATTGGTTTTTGATCTTGGGAAAGGACTGCACCGATGGCATAATTTGAGGCATCGGTGGTTAAATGGAACTCTTTACTGAAATCAGGGTATGAGAGTATAACATCGTCAGATATAAGGGATTTTTTTATTTTGTTGAAGGCATCTTTTGCCTCGTCGTTCAAATCTATATTTACTTTAGCTGACTTGTTTTTAGATATACGGCCTTCTTCCCCTCTTAGAAGTAAGGTTAGAGGTTTTGCCAACTTGGCATAATCTTTTATGAAGCGGCGGTAATATCCTGAGAGACCTAGGAATGAGCGGAGTTGTTTTATATTTTGTGGGTAAGGTATTTGTGCAACTGCTTCTACCTTTGCGGGATTTTTTGTTATGCCTTTTGAGGATATAATAAATCCAAGGAACTCTACGGAGTCCCTGAAAAAATGGCATTTGTCCAGCTGAATTTTCATGTTCGCATCTTCGACCGTTTTGAAAATTTCTTGCAGGTGGAGGGTGTGCTCTTCTTCAGAGTTACTGAAAACAACTATATCGTCGATATAGACGTAGCAAATTTTGCCAATTTGATGGCGAAGAATGTCATCTAGGGCCCGTTGGAATACTGAGGGGGCATTCTTTAATCCGAATGGCAGTCTTGTGAACTCGTATTTGCCATTATTTATTGAGAAAGCTGTTTTCTCAATATCGGATTCCTTGAGAGGGATTTGGTGAAATCCGCTCTTCAAATCCAAGATGGAAAAATATTTATTTTTCCCAAGCTGGGACAGTACTTCGTTAATTTGCGGTATTGGATAGCGATCTGCTATAGTGATCGCGTTAAGTTTGCGATAATCGATTACTATTCTGTACTGTTTGTTACCCTGAGAGTCGGGTTTTTTCGCAACGACCTAAATGGGTGAATTATACGGTGACCTTGATGGTCGAATAATACCGTCGTCTAACATTTTTTTAATCTGGGATTCAACTTCATTTTTTAGCGACATTGGGTAGGGGTAATATCTTGTGTAGACGGGGGTGTCTTTATTGGTACGGATTTCGCCTACGACTTTGGTAGTGTATGTGAGTTTATCATTAGGTTCGGAAAATAGATTTGGAAAATGATTTACTAAATTATCGACTTTATTTCGTTGATTTGTTGACAAATGGTCGTCATTGAGTTCAATTTTATTAACAGATTTTGACTGAAATTGTTTTAGTTTTATTTTGGTATTCCCTTGTATTTCCATAAAGTTATCTTTGACGTGAATAACAGCTTCTAGCTCTTTGAGGCTATCATTCCCGAGGATTCCATGAAATGATCGAAGGGTGGGGAGTAGGTAAAATTTTAATTTTTTATTTATGTGGAACAGATTTAAGAAAGTGTGCTCTTTAATTTCGATGTCTCCCGCTATAGATTTTGCAAAAAAAAATTTCTTCGTTTTTAATGGGTTTTGGTACGATGGATGGTTGGATGTAATTTTTTGTTGATCCTGTATCTATAAGAAATTTTACGATGTTTCCACTCTTCAGCTTGCACTCGATATATGGCAGCGAAGAGTGATTCATTCTAAAAAATGTAGATCAGTTGTATCTATGAACTCATCGGTTAATTCACTATTATTATGGTTATAGGTATTATCATTATTATAGGTATCATTAGTATAGGTGTCATTAGTATTAGTTTCATACTCTTGGTTAGTGGGATTATAATCGTCTAGGTTGTACTGGTCTTGTTTCGTCGTTTGTTCAATGTGGAAGCTTCTTTGTATTTTGTTAGGGGGTGCGGGAGGGTTAGTGTTAGGTGGTCTTTTGTTAGTAGGATCATTGGGACGTGGCCTGTTCATGTAATTAAGGTTTCTTGTTCGTAGGGATGGATCGATATCCATTGGTTCTGGTCGTGGTTGAGGTTTTTGGGCTGGACGAGGTGGTGGGTTATTAGGACGTGGGATGTACTGATTTTGTTGGTAAGGATGTTGGTATTGGTAGGTTGGTTGGGGATGTTGGAATTGGTAATTTGTTTGGGGAAATTGATATTGATAATTCGGTTGGGGAGGCCTGTAGGGAGGAGTTGTGTTCAACCTGGGTTGAGGCATGAATGCCAATTCGGGGTAAAACTCGTTATTAATTCCTTTGGGAGGAAGGGGTGGACGGATGTCCAAAGTTCTCCTGGGTTGGCCATTATTTACTAAGGCATAGTGGGACCTGAAGTTTTGGTTTTCAAGTTTTAGACACAAGTGGAGGGCTTGAGGGAGATCAGCGGGTTCCCTCATTCCTAGGAATCTTGGCAAGTCTCCTTTAAGCCCACGAACGAACGTGTCCAGCGCTTTGTCCCTGTATGTGCGGGTAAGCAGATGCATGGCTTCTGTGCCGACATCCATGCAGCCGAGCTTATTAAGAATAAGCGACATGTGCGAGTATACTCGCTGGTAAAATTCCTGAATTGTCAGGTTACCCTGCACAAGCGACGTCATCTGGTACTCGAGAGTACCTAAGTCGCGCTTATCCGCATAGTGCAGCGTTAAGCATCTGGAAATTGCTTTTCAGTCTAGTGGAGTATTGTATGACTCCAAGGCAATGTCGGCGTTTCCGACAATTTTATTGCGGATAACGTTGAGGATCCCATAGTATTTGGGAGATCCCCTTTGTGGCTCATAGATCTGAAGGATCCTGTCCACGCTTTTCTTCCACGAGTTGAATTCTCCAGGTGCCCCTGAGAATTCGCGAAGACACCTTACCACATCGGGTATCTTGTCTAATTCCGAGATGTTGGGAGAAGCTGTGTCTATAGTTATATCCGTAACATCGGAAAAACTCGCGTTGGGGTTGAGGGCGGCTTGAACCATGTTTCGCCCTTGTTGTTGGAACATATTGGTTACGATGCCAGATATGACCTCCGTCAACTGGTCCATCGATAAGTGAGTAGTATTAGCAGGGGTAGCGAGTGTGGGAGGTGGTGCGTTTAGCACAGGTGGTCGAATAAGATTTTGAGGGTTTGACACTTTGAGTTTACTTAGCCTATTCTTTTCACTTTATTATTTATGTATATTTTTGATGTTTTGTGGAACTTCAACAATCTCTGGAGGGTCCCTTTGGTGGTGAATCGCAGAGTTGTTTTTATTTTATTTCTAGAGATTTCTTTAAATTATGAGCTGTACAAGCTCTTCAGTTAAAAATTGTTTTCTTTGTGTTATTCAAGGACAAAAGGTTTTAATATATTCACTTGATTTTACCTTAAAAGGAATTAATTAAAAAAAATATCTTTTCTAAATAGGAAATTTATCTTTACTTAATTAATTTAAAATTTTTTGTTTATTATTTCTTAAAAATTTTCACTTATGTTTTTTATTAATTTTCCCTCAATAGGACTAGGATAATTTAAAATTTATTTTCAATCGGAAATTCGGATTCACTTAATTTACTTTTTAGTTTGTCTTAAATCTATGCTTACATTAATGGCAGCATCCGGCGGCTAACGACTCGCGTTTCCCGTTTGCACATTTGTGAGCTACTAGGGCACCTTTTCTCCTTCGCTGACTCTGAGTTAACTTAGTTACTTAGCTGGTTAAAGGACCTACGTCGTCTTTGGCGTGCTATTCCACCCTTTATGCGCTGGAGTTATTACGAAATCGGCGATCTTTCTGCTCCAAGTATCACGAAATTTTATGCTGTTCTACCCTTATGCGCTGGAGGCTGTTCTACCTTTATGCGCTGGAGTTATTACGAAATCGGCGATCTTTCTGCTCCCAGTATCACGAAATTTTCTGCTTCAGGTGTTGCAAATTTTTCG